ATACATTTGAAAGCACAGATGAAGTAGATAAATTTAGGAAAACATGAAATAAATAAAAAGGTACAAAATGAAATTGGAAACTTCAATAGCTCAATTACCACAAAAGAAATTAAAATGTGGGGCCACACTCCAAATTCTACCAAACTTTCAATGTACCAATCTTCTCTGTCTTATATAAAAGGTGTTCTAAAACAACTCAGAGGAATGAAAAGAGATAAAGCTGCCAGATTTATTTTAGTAATTTAATATAAACTTGGTTCTTAAAATGGATAAGGATAATACAAGGAATAAAAATGAAAATTATAAGCCAATTTTACTTATGGACGTAAGTACAAAACCTAAATAAAATATTAGCCAACTTAATTTTTCATTTTTTTTCTTTTTCTTTTTTTTTGGAGACGGAGTCTTGTACTGTCGCCCAGGCTGGAGTGCAGTGGCTCAATCTCCGCTCACTGCAAGCTCTGCCTCCCAGGTTCACACCATTCTCCTGCTTCAGCCTCCCGAGTAGCTGGGACTACAGGCACCCGTCACCATGCCTGGATAATTTTTTTTTTTTTTTTGTATTTTTAGTAGAGATGGGGTTTCACTGTGTTAGCCAGGCTGGTCTTGATCTCCTGACCTTGTGATCCACCTGCCTCAGCCTCCCAAAGTGCTGGGATTACAGGCGTGAGCCACCTTGCCCGGCCAGCCAATTGAATTTTTTTTTTTTTTTTTTGAGATGGAGTCTCACTGAGTCACCCAGGCTGGAGTGCAATGGCACCATCTCGACTCACTGTAACCTCTGCCTCCTGGGTTCAAGCAATTCTCCTGTCTCAGCCTTCCGGTAGCTGGGACTATTCCCGGCCACTATTTCCGGCTAATTTTTGTGTTTTTAGTAGAGATGGGGTTTTACCATATTATTTGTATTTTTATTTTTAGTAGAGACGGGGTTTACCATATTATTCAGGCTCATCTTGAACTCCTGACCTTAGGTGATCCACCCGTCTCAGCCTCCCAAAGTGCTGGGATTATAGGCGTGAGCCACTGCACCCAGCCAGCTAACTGAATTTAACCTATATCATGATCAAGTTGATTTTAACATCAGAAAATCTAGCTATGAAATTTTCTACATTAATAGATTCTAAAGGAAAAGTAAAACCAAATAACCAACTCAATAGAAATCATTGATAATGTTCAATATCTATTAATAATTAGGTTAAAAGTTAGTTTCTTAATTTTGATTAAGAAAAGTTTATAACAAAGAGAGAGCTGGAAATAGAGCAAGATGGCTGACCAGAGATGTATGGATCTTGCCCCTGCTCCTCCTACCCAGGAAGGACCAAAGCAATGAATAAACAGGTAAAACAGCTACCATTTTACTGAAATGTTGAAGGGAAAGCACTGGAGTGCAGTAGGGGAGTGGAGAGGCAGCTGAGGTGATTGGAAATCCAGGAGAGCAGTGTGGAGTTACCCAGCCTCTGCAGCCCTATCTCCCCCACCCAGCTTCAATCATCCTGGAGGCAGGAGGGACTTCCCTTTACAGGAAAAAGGTAAGCAGAACAACTCCACCAGCCCCCATAGCCTTACCCACAGTCCTTACTACAGGAGAATCCCACAGTCCTTGAAAGCCCTGAGCCTAATTTAGAGAGCTGTCTGAAGTTCTTGCTACCGCACTGCTCTGGATTAGGAACAGAAAGGGTGTGCTCCCAACCTCCACTCACCCGCTGTGAGCCAAGCTGTGGCAGCAGCAGCACCGTGCCATCTTGAGACCAGAGCCACCTCTGGAGTGCACCATTCTATGGGGTCAATAGCCACTGCACCTCTGCAGCATCAGGGCTCCATCTTCTTTCTACAAATCTCACAAGGGTGGCTAAACTCCATAATCCCAACTATGCATAGATTGGGCCTAGGATCAATTGTGATTCTGGTCCTGCATAACAGAGAAGACAACCCCAACCGTCTGCACTTCGAGACAGAGGAACCACTTGGCAATCCTGCCCAGGGCAAATATGTCTTGAGCCGGCCAAACTGCTGACCACCATCCACAAAGCAGGAGAGGGCCCTGTGCCACCGAGCAGCCGACATGCTGCCCTGTCAGCAGAATGGCTATATTCCTGTGCCCACGGCCTGAGAAACAGCCCTGTGGTACCCACTCCCATTGTTGACGTGCCCCTGTCCTGCCCAAAGGCCCAACACCCCGATCAGGGCCTATGATGCAGCATCGTGGCTCACTCCTGGCAGACATGCCCTTCGGGCTGGCTGACCAGCTGTCCAACCACATCCCAGGCCTGAGAAACAATCCCACAGGGTGCCCCTGGAAGGCACGCCCTAAGGCTGATCCAGTAACTGTACCCGCACATTTCCAGCCTGAAAAAGTCTTTCAGGCCGCCCCTGGCCAACCAAGAAGCCAGGAGTCCACATCCTGAACTTGAGAAAAAACCCTGTGGGCCATGCTTAGCAGACATGCACGCAGGCCAGCCGAGAAGCCATGTGTCCGTGTTCAGGGCCTGAGAAACAGCTTCACAGGCTGCCCCAGGCAGACACCCCACCAGGTCAGCTAAGCAGTGTGCCGACATCCCAGACCTGAGAAATAGTCTCAAGGGCCACTCCAGGACACACATGTCCCAGCCAGCCAAGCAGCTTTGTGCCTTTGTTGCAAGCCTAAGTAACAGCCCCGCAGGCTTCGCTTAGAAGACATGCTCCCAGGACAGCCAAGCAGCTGTGCTCCTGTGTCCAGGGTCTGAGAAACAGAGCCACAGGCCACCACTGGCAGGCACCCTCTAGGCTGGCCAAGCAACAATGCATTCGTATCCCCACCCAGAGTTAACAGTCCCATAGCCCCAACCCCAGTGAGCCAGACCCCAAGTTGGTTGACCCACCATGTGCACAAGTGAGCCCCTGACTTGAGAAACAGCCACATGTGCAAAAGCCACATGACCACCACCACCACCTCTTAGCCTAGGCCGCTGAGACATTCACAAATGTCACCAGCATGCTTGCTTGTTTGTTTGTTTATTTATTTATTTATTTATTTATTTTTAAGACCGAGTCTTTCTCTGTCACCCAGGCTGGAGTGCAGTGGCGTGATCTCGGCTCACTGCAATCTCTGCCTCCTGGGTTCAAGCAATTCTCCTGCCTCAGCCTCCCGAGTAGCTGGGATTACAGGTGCCTGCCACCACGCCTGGCTAATTTTTGTGTTTTTAGTAGAGACGGGGTTTCACCATCTTGGCCAGGCTGCTCTTGAACTTCTGACCTCTTGATCCACCTGTCTCAGCCTCCCAAAGGACTGGGATTACAGGAGTGAGTCACCACACCCAGCCTGTCATTAGCATGTATTACAGCTGAAGAAACTATGTAGAGAATGCACTACTGCATCCACCTAGAACAAAAGCTAACACACTCCATTGAAGAAACACCCCAAGACCCATACGAATAAATCTTTCCCTGCAGAAGCTGCTCCATGAAATTGGAACGGTGATTGTTTCATCATATGTGTATAAATCAATGTAGAGCTGGGTGTGGTGGCTCATGCCTGTAATCCCAGCACTTTGAGAGGCTGAGGTGGGCACATCGCTTGAGTTCATTCAGGAGTTCCAGACCAGCCTGGCCAAAATGGTGAAACCCCGTCTCTACTAAAAATACCAAAATTAGCCTGGCATGGCAGCACATGCCTGTAATCTCAGCCATTCGGGAGGCTGTGGCAGGAGAATCCCTTGAACGTGGGAGGCAGAGGTTGCCATGAGCCAAGATCTCACCACTGCACTCTAGCCGACAGAGCAAGACTCTGTCAAAAAAAAAAAAAGAAAGAAAGAAAGAAAGAAAAAGGAAGGAAAGGAAAGGAAAGGAAAGGAAAGGAAAGGAAAGGAGGAAGGAAGGAAGGAAGGAAGGAAGGAAGGAAGGAAGGAAGGAAAGAAAGAAAAATGTAGAAACACATGAAACATGAAAAAGCAAGGAGCCGGACACCTCCAAAAGAACACAATAATTTCCAGTAACAGACACCAATCATAAGAAAATATACAAAGTTCAACCATAAGAAAATATACAAAGTTCCTGCCGGGCGCCGCAGCTCACGCCTATAATCCCAGCGCTTTAGAAGGCTGAGGCGGGCGGATCACGAAGTCAGGAGACTGAGACCATCCTGGCTAACACGTGAAATCCCGTCTCTACTAAAAATACAAAAAAATTAGCCGGGCGTGGTGGCAGGCGCCTGTAGTCCCAGCTACTCAGGGGGCTGAGGCAGCAGAATGGTAGGCGGAGCTTGCAGTGAGCTGAGATCATGCCACTGCACTCCAGCCTGGGCGACAGAGCGAGACTCTGTCTCAAAAAAAAAAAAAAAAAAAAAAAAAAAGAAAATATACAAAGTTCCAGAAAAAGAATTTAAAATAATAATCTTAAGGAAACAGTGGAATTCAAGAGCATACAGTTACACAATTCAATTAAATCAAGAAAACTCATAATTTGAGAAATTTAACAGAGATATAAAAAAGAACCATACAGAAAATCTAGAACTGGAGAATTCAATGAATTAAATGAAAAATGCAATCAAGACTCTTAAAAACAGACTAGACCAAGCATAAGAAACAATTTCTGGGCCGGGCGTGGTGGCTGGCACCTGTAATCCCAGCACTTTGGGAGGCCAAGATGAGTGGATCACCTGAGGTCAGGAGTTCGAGACCAGCCTGGCCAATATGGTGAAACCCCGTCTCTACTAAAAATACAAAAAAAAAAATTAGCTGGGCATGGTGGCGGGCGCCTGTAATCCCAGCTACTCGGGAGTCTGAGGAGAATCGCTTGAACCCGGAAGGCGGAGGTTGCAGTGAGCCGAGATCGCGCCACTGCACTCCAGTCTGGCGACAGTGCTAGACTCCGTCTCAAAGAAAAAAAAATTCTGCTCTATAACTTCACTTTTAACATTGTTTAGGTTTTTTTTAAATTTTTTTTTTGAGAGGGAATCTCGCTCTGGCGCCCGGGCCGCTCCGGACTACATTTCCCAGGAGCCTCGAGGCGCACTTCCGCTTCCGGCCCCTGTGTCTGGAGGGGTTGTTCGCGTGGCGAGTGTCTGTCCTCCCTGTCCTCCCTAGCAGAGTCCCTCCCCGTGTGTGGACCGAGGAGGAGCAGACGCTGGACAGGGTGTGTGTGTTCAGCAGTGGATTGTCAGCCTTGGGTCCCAGCTGCTCCCCTTTGGACCTCTCCCTGGGCCCGCTGATCTGACTGATTCCTTCTACTTGGAGCTAGGACTCGGCCACCTTGACGCGCCCCCTCTGCCCCTTGGGTTTTGTGTGTGGGGGAGTGGGGGTGTATTGTGTTTCCTATCTGAGACACCTCCGGGTCGTTTGCTCGGAAACAGGATGAGGGCCCGCATAACTTGGAGCACTTGGCTGGAAGGTGAGGCAGGTCGTGTCCAAGGCTCCCGTGCCCGGGCCAGGTTAGGCACCAACGCGTCTCTTACGTCTCTGCAGCCTGCAGTGTGGTGGAACCGTTTTATAGACTGACAGTGTGAACGTGGGAGGGGATGGATATCAGAGATTCGTTTATCTAGATTTTCAGAGAAAATGCTCTGATGTGAGTGTAAGCAGGTTACTCTCTGTGTCTCGTGTTCTTTACCTGTAATTTGAGGTTTGTTTTACCTACTTTTAAGTGGTGGTTGTGAGGATTAAATGGAATTTTGACATGCAACAGTTGACACAGGGCCAGACACCAAGTAAGGGATCAATCAGTTGTCGCTTTTATTAATAGTAGGCATCCATCTCCCCATTTGTTCATAAGAAGGAAACACCTAAGAAGGAAAAGTAACTTGTAGGGCACCCAGCCAACTAGCACATAGTGGAAATTAGAATCCCGGCACTCCCAGCAGGGCACTTTCCACCACCCTGCACTTTTGTATTCAGCAGGCACAGTATCTTTACTGCTGTCTGTAACTAGCTGTCTATGTTCCCAGCGTCTGACTCTGCAGGGCCCTGGTGGTATAAAGGTACTGAGACTTGCCTGTGTTTAGGGCTTCCTGAAGATTAAATGGCTGCTGAAGTTCTTGAGTTTAGCTTTGGCTCAAAAGATACTGCTTCAGACTCTGTGTTCTGAATAGAGTCTCAAGAGAATGAAAAAAGAAATACAATGAAAAAGGAAAAAACTTCAATCCAGAATCTCTTGCCAGAGTTTCTGGGAGAATGCTGGCAATTCCCAGGAAGATATGTGGAGAACGGAAAGGTTGCTACACCCAAATAGTGTAGCAAAGGCTGTGATTATGGAGGACTGGACCTGCAAACTTCAGAACAGAGGTAAGAAATAGAAATAAAGGGTCTTGCCATTAGCCGAGAATCTACAGTGTGCACACACAACCTCATTTTAGTTTTTCTTTACAGAAACCTTATAAAATGTATGTGGGCAGCATAGAGACCTTGGGCAAGTTAACAGTTTCTTCATCTGTAAATAGTGATTTATGGAAAGCACCTGGTGCATGGTGAGTGTGCGAAGAATGGTAGTGATTTTACTAATATCATTCCCTTTTAATTTGAAACTCTGAAAGACAAGATACCTTACTTCCATACTCTTTCCATTATGCCACCTGCCTCTCTGAAGGATGAGGGGGGATAAGTCAGACTCCTTGGAAGAGGAGAAAGAAATAGGTATGGAGAGGCTGATGACTTGATTTGGCATTACAGCACATGGGAGAGCCCTAGTCCCTTGAAACTTCTATGAGCTCAGGGGTAGAGCTGGGGCCTGCGTCCCCAGGGTCCATGGCCCTGCTGCTCATTTCTGGCAGAATTAGGGACTGCTCCTTGGCTCTCTTTCAGTTTGCTCTCAAAAAGTGCTTTCTCTTAAGGAGATACAAAGGGATGTCCCAGATTAGAAGGGACTTCCATAGTCTATCTCTAGTCTGTTTGGCTCTCCTACAATATCCTGCCCTCAGGCCCTCTGATTTCTGGAAGTCCTGGAATTTAGGAGTTCCTAACTCTACCTTAGCTCCCACTGATTGCCAGTGCCCAGTACAGGGAGGGCACAGGCATCTTGTGGGGAAGTTGGATTTGGGAGTAGGACCAAACATATCGATTGTACCTTTTTTCCTTGTAAAACAAAGTATAGAAAGAAAGTGCCATAAAGTCTTGGTTAATGTTGATATGCAGAAAATATTGAGAGTAATAATTAACTGATGATTAAATGACCTTTCCTGAGTGCTTATTCTGTACCAGGTACTGGTTTGGGCCATTTATGTGCATTAACGCACATTGTAGCAGGGTAGGTACCATTATTATTATATTTTTTGAGACTGTGTCTCACTCCGTTGCCCAGGGTGGTGCAATCTTGGCTCACTGCAACCTCCGCCTCCAAGGTTCACGCCATTCTCCTACCTCAGCCTCCCGAGTAGCTGGGACTACAGGCGCCCACCACCACGCCTGGCTAATTTTTTTTTTTATTTTTAGTAGAGACGGGTTTTCACCGTGTTAGCCAGGATGGTGTTGATCTCCTGACCTTGTGATCTGCCCGTCTCGGCCTCCCAAAGTGCTGGGATTACAGGCATGAGCCCCTGTGCCTGGCCATTATTCTCTTTTTTAAAATTAGGAAACGGAAGCCCAGAAGAAACTTGGCTATGGTTATACAGAGCCAGGATGTAAAGGCAGCAGGCAGGCAGACTCCGGAGCCAGAGTTCCAATGACAAAGGATTACAGGAGGCATGAATTCTACAAAATTGTGAAACCCTGTACTTGATAATAACTGAGGCCTAGAAAGAACTACTTCTTCCCCCAAACACATCCACAAGGAGCTTTAAGTACTGCTTTTTGGAGGTGGGTGGAGAGAGGATCAAAGAAATAATAAACTGTAAAATATTAGGAAAATATAGATTGATATGTAGAATAAGATAAATAGCATGTAACCCTACTACCTAGAGAGAAGCTCAAAGAAGTGCTCAAAGGTAATATGATCAGCAGTTTTCTCCCTACAGGCAAAAAATCAAAATGGAGAAGTAAATTATGAGCGGAAGGTTGCTTGTTGGGCATAGAATCAGACCGAGGGAATTTGGGGCTCATTCATTAATTCGTTCACAATACATTTAGGGACTACTGTCTGCCAAGTACACTGTGCTTGGTGCTTAGGACGCAGGGGTGAATGATATGACACATGCAATTTAGTGGAGCGTGTGTGGTGGAACAGACCTAAGATGGCCACAGACTCACCGTGGGCCTGGAATACTCACGATGGGGTGGCTGTAGGTGTCTGTGACCATGACTGCTGGGGTGGGCACTGCTGCCTTTTGCTGCTGTGATTCCCTTTTTCTTGTTCTATAAAATTGGTCACTTTCTCCATTTGAGAATAAAGGAGTTGAGCCTGGAGGTCTTTAAGCACCTCTCCAACTGTAACATTACACTTCTTGTTTTAGGGTTTTTTGGTCCCAAGGAACCTCATTTTCAGAGCAGTGGCTCACGCAGATCCTGAACCCAGTTAATGGTCGTACCTTTCCCTAAGTTTACGTTCCTTCTATCCTCTGAGATTATCTTTGAAGTCTCATTATATAGATGTCTGTAAAATCCTTCAAGCTATGGACAGCCAAGGTCAGAGGCACATTTTGTCATGAGTGGCTATTTCTAAACTCACAGGTTTGAGATATGTGAAGATAAACCAGATTCCTTTATGTCGATTTCCTCCCAGTTCTGCCTTCTGAGGACCCTGCTGTTTCCCAAAAGAGGTGTCTTGAGAAGGAAAATATGGCTGCTCTTTGCCGGACAGCAGAGTCCCAGGTGAGTTGGGGATTTTCCTCTCTTCTCGGAAATCTTATTTTAATTGAGTTGGGGATTTTCCTCTCTTCTCGGAAATCTTATTTTAATTGAGTTGGGGATTTTCCTCTCTTCTTGGAAATCTTATTTTAATTCCTGAAGCAAATTTCTTTCTCTTAGCATGAAGCTTGTCAACCGCATTAGCCACAGCAGTTTGAAAGGAAAGGATCCAGTGGCGGGGATGGACTGCCAACGAGATGGCGTTCGAGTGTTCCTCAGTTGTATGGCAGCAGCAGTGAAGGTCAGGCGGGTTGGTAGCCTCGCCCATCAGTTGGCAGTGTAGAGAAAGGATGGGGGCGGCGGGGTGGGAATGAGGCCTCTTTAGCAGATAATTGAGGAGCATGACTCTTAGAACATGGTTGGGTGAGAATCAAGCTTCTTTTTGTTCACTTGAGACATTTGGCGTAGATATGCGAAGGCACGTGAGGCATTTCTTTCTTCCATCTGTTTAGAATATTTTGGGGAGAAAAGATGTACACAAATCTATGTGGCACAAACCAGCAGATTTATTGTTCTTAAGGACCTTCTTATTAAGGGCCCTTATTGTTAAGGGCCTATTCAGTAATAAAGTGTCTTAGGGAAAATGCTTTTTGGACTTGGAGGAGCAGGAGCAAATGTGTCTGGCTGAGAGGAAGGTTTTATTCATTCAACTAGCATTTTAAAGTTCTTTTAAGCAGCTCCTAGGCTAATGAAAGTAGTAAGATTTGATGTGGGCCCTGAAGGCTGAGTAGAATCTTGAAGGGTTTGTAGAAAGTTAGTGACATAAATGACTTAGAATCAAAGCAAGATACTGATTCCTCTGGCACAGGAAAAAAGTCAGTACATTGAAATCACAGAGATGTTGTTCCACAAAAAATTAAAGGCTTCTTATACTCAAAGTTCTTTCCTAGATATGATTCTCAAGTTTGGCCTATTTCTATTTTTTTTTTTTTTTTGAGACAGAGTCTCGCTCTGTCGCCAAGGCTGGAGTGCAGTGGCACGATCTCAGCTCACTGCAAGCTCCACCTTCCGGGTTCACGCCCTTCTCCTGCCTCAGCCTCCCGAGTAGCTGGGACTACAGGTGCCCACCACCACGCCTGGCTAATTTTTTTGTTATTTTTAGTAAAGATGGGGTTTCACTGTGTTAGCCAGGATGGTCTTGATCTCCTGACCTTGTGATTTGCCCGCCTTGGCTTTCCAAAGTGCTGGGATTACAGGCATGAGCCACTGCACCCCACCAATAGTTTTCTTGTAATTGAGTTCTATATATAAAATTACTGTAAAATAAAACTATCAAATTAGGTCAAAGGGGTATACGCATTTTAAGATTTTAAGATTCTTTAATATACGAGTCAATAAAATCTTGTCTTTGACACTGTGAACATAGTTTAATCTATTTCCTCTTCATCCCATTAGTCTCCCCTAATTATGCCTCATTTAACTTTTTCTTCAGAACCCCATGCAGGTGTTTCAGGGCTTTGTGTCATTCAAGGATGTGGCTGTGAACTTCACTGAGGAAGAATGGAGAGAACTGGACCCTGCTGAGAGAGTCTTGTACAGAGATGTAATGCTGGAGACCTATAGGAACCTGGTCTCCTTGAGTAAGCTTGGGTCCTTCCACCCCAGATTGACCTTTCAGGATACCTTTGCCTTCTAAAGATTCCCTTGCTTCTATTAGGGGATGATAACAAATGAGGCTTTGGTTATTTTCCCCCACAGAATCCAGATCAGATCCTTAAACTGTTTCTCACCTTACTTGGGTAGAAATTATTTAATTGCTTTTGACAATTAGTTATTTCATTTTCTCCTCTCTAAAATGCAACAGAGTGGGACTGAGAATAGGGTGGTCCTTTCTCTTTTGAACTTAAAATTACATTCTGTTTGTGTCTCTTAGTAGGATGTCCATTTTCCAAACCTGCTATCATCTCCCAGTTGGAAGAAGTGGTAAACCCACAAACGCACATGCAGGAGGGAGAGGTGCCAAGAAGCAGCTGTACAGGCAAGTGAGAACAAGGCAGATTGCATCTTTAGAAATAAGAGTTAGGGGTTCTTCCCAAATCTTCCAGGCCTGTAGAAGATGTTGAATCCCCCTGCAGTCTCATCTTCACTTGACCACATCAGAATCGTAATAGCTTACCCCTCTATTTCTTCCCAGACTCAAGGAAGAGATACTTCCTCCTTAAAGTTATAACACCAACACATAATCCGGAGATCACCTTTGTGCCTCATCCTGAGGCATTTTATGAGGCTATTCCCCTTTCCTCTTTAGTAACTGGAATCACTTCTTCATTTACTATGTCTTCATCCTACCTAGTTTTCTGCTGTCTAAGAAATACTAAGAGAAGGAAATAATTTGAATAATTTTAAGGTTATAAAATTGACATAATTTGTTGTATAGATTTGAGAGGTGAGGGAGTAACAGAAAAAGAAAATTCTCAGGTTTCTGGTTTGGATGTGTAAGTGAATGGAAGTTCTCTTCCCTGAGATGGAGAACACAGGAGAAGTAGCAAGTTTAGCAGGTGGAAGATGAGTTCAGTGTATCTTAAGTTGTTTGAAGTGTCTGTAATAAGTCTAAACCAGTGGTTCTTAACCAGGGACAAGTTTGCCCCCCAGGGGACATTTGGCCATGTCTGAAGTGTGCTATGGGCATCTCATGGGTAGAGTCCAGGGATGCTGCTAAACACCCTACAATGCACAGGACAGGGCCCCACACAAAGACATGTCCGTCTAAAATGTCAATAGTGCTGCAGTTGAGAAAACCTGCTCTAAGTGGTGATGTCTGGAGGCTAGATGAATATGAGGAGGACATGCCAAATGTATCTTAGTAAAGGAAAGAGATCTTAACTGGTGATACAGAGTTGGGAGTTGCCTGAGAATGGATGGTAATTGAAGCCATGGGAGTGGATAATATCACCCAAAGAGCACAAAAAGAGTTACAAGAGAGCCTGGAACCCTAATGAACACAAACATTCAAGTATCTGCAAAAAAATAAATAAACAAACAAATATATGTATATAGTATATAGTACATATATTTTATAGTATATATGCAAATATATATGTGTATATATACTAAAACTATAGTTATAATTTCAGCCTTAAGGAAGGGGGGAAAAAAGAAAATTCTAAGAAAGGGGAGATGGAAAAAGCAAAATAGATTCCTCATCAACAGAAGATACAATTATATAATTTTATAATTTATATTCTATTATAAACATAATATGTATGTATGTATGTATATACGTATGTGTATGTACATATGTGTATATATATACACAGGGCTTCTATCCAGTGTGGATCCTCTGATGTTGGGTAAGACGGGCAGTTCTACTGAAGGCTTTCCCACACTCCTGACGATCAAACGGTTTCTCTCCAGTATGAACCCTCTGATGCTGGGTAAGAGATGAGCTCTGGCTGAAGGCTTTCCCACAGTCTTTACAGGTGTAGGGTTTCTCTCCAGTGTGGACTTTTGTATGTTTTGTAAGAGTTGAGCTCTGACCGAAGGCTTGACCACATTCTTTACACTTGTAGGGTTTTTCTCCAGTATGAGTTCTGTCACATAAATGTGGCAGAGCTTTCAGGTGTAGTTCAGCCCCCTCAGTAGACATCAGAGACTTCACAGTGGAGAATCTACCTGAATGTCTGGGCAAATCCACTCAGACTCTTCATTTTGTTAAATACCAAAGAATTATACTTTCATAGGTTGTTACAGTGGCGATGCTTTTCTATTATATTTTAAGGGATGAAAATTCCCCCCTCTCCTACCTTAGTTATTTTCTCCTGCAAAGCTATCAGAATATCACAAATCCAAGTGAAGAAATACTGAACTGAAATCTGGAATATCCTAATAGACTCTAAAGCTCAATTTTTTTTTTTTTTTTTTTTTTTTTTTTTTTTTTTTTTTTTTTTGAGGCGGAGTCTCGCTCTGCCACCCAGGCTGGAGCGCAGGGGCCCGATCTCGGCTCACTGGAAGCTCCGCCTCCCGGGTTCACGCCATTCTCCTGCCTCAGCCTCCCGAGTAGCTGGGACTGCAGGCGCCCGCCACCATGCCCGGCTAATTTTTTGTATTTGTAGTAGAGACGGGGTTTCACCGTGTTAGCCAGGATGGTCTCAATCTCCTGACCTCCTGATCCGTCCGCCTTGGCCTCCCAAAGTGCTGGGATTACAGGCGTGAGCCACTGCGCCCAGCCTATTGTGTCTTCTGTTGATGAGGAATCTATTTTGCTTTTCCCATCTCCCCTTTCTTAGAATTTTGTTTCTTTTTTTTCCCCTTCCTTAAGACGAAATTATAACTATCACTTCTCAGAAAGTAAGAACCATTTACCTTGGAAACTGACAGCCTTACATAGTAACTATTATGCAATCCCAACACAAGAGTTAGGGAAGATTTAGTCAACACTTCTAGAAAACATTTTAGAAAAAAATAGTCATATGAATTTGTATCAGACTGTCACCAGATTAAGTTACTTGAGGCTGCCTGATGAACATTCCTGTATATGGCTCTAAGAAATGTTATGTGTACCTAATAAAGCCAGGCATTATTTTTTGGTTACACTGTGGCTCAACACATACATGCAAACTTTTTTTTTTCTTTCAAATCTTCCTAAGCTTAAACTGATGTTAGAGTCACTTTTTAGGTTTCCATGAATTATTTTCCCTGCCTTTTTTTTTTTTCTTTTTCCTATTTTAGGTGTGTTTCAGTTACCTGAGAGTAATCCAATTGTATAGGATTGGAATCCCTTGATTTTCTCGTATCATTCCCAATGTACTAGCCAGAACCTGAGATTTCCGTGCTTTCTATTTTTCTCACTAAAAGGGCTATTCTGAACTCTCTCTCCTCACCTGCTTTCCTATCCTTCTCTTCTATTTAAAGAAGTCCGTGTTAGTACAGCTTGAAATTCAACAGGGCTTGAATTACAGAAGGCACAACTGAATTTAGAGAAGAAAAGATTTTTGTTCTGAAAATTAACGGTGAGACAGACCACT